CCAATGGCGTGGGAATGGTCATTGATACAATGCCATCCGTTTTTTGGCCCACAACAGCCATGGCATGTACGTGCATGCCACCTAGTGGCTAGTGGATAAACTGATTAACCTATTGGCCCAGGATCATGTAATGTCCAATATATTTTTATGTGTATTTTGTTGTAGACAGACGGCTCCACAAGTGCTCAGCCATCAAGGAGTCAATTATTAGGCCCTTCTGGCTGCGCCTGAAATGACAAGTCTTTGAATTTGCTTGATTTTTTTCTTATTTTCTTTTTTGTGCTATTTATATCAATACTATTATTACTATTGATATTATGACTATCATAATATCATTAAAACACCAAAACTAGTAAAAAATATAAAAAAGATGAAAAAAAAAATAATAATAATAATAATAAAAATCAAGGTATTGGGTAAAGGTGAGATAAGTAAGATCAATAATCTACACCTTGATGACTAAACACTTGTGGATCTATCACAATGTAACAAAATTAAGAAACTAAAATTATAGTGGACATGGCTTGTACTTTGGAATCCACAACCAATGGGTTAAGGAATCATGCTTTTTTTGCCTTTCTAAAAAACATAAAATCAATGAATAATGATCTCATCCTCATCTTTATTACTATCATTAACATATGGCCATTATCTGCAATATATTTTCTACACAAATACTAAGCTTACTGCATCAGCAAGCAATTAGGGACAAGATCATCATCAATCTCTTTCCATTATGCAAATCAACAGTAACACAAACTATGACAGGGGTGTCAAAGGTTTTAGGCCAAATATGGCCCTCAGAATGATCACAAATGGCCTGCAGGGTGGCAAGATGTATTAGTATGTGACATAGAAAAAAAAAAAAAAAAAATGCTTCACAGTTAAGGGAAAATAAAAGTAAAAATGAAAGTTGTATGGTAGTTTTTGTACCACACGTATATGATATCATGTTTGAAATCAACAATGAAACTGTACAATTAACTGTAGCAGCCACTGACTAATGCAAATACAAATAGCATTTGTGTCACCATATAAATTTAATATGGAAAAATAAACTTTCCATACAGATACATCAAATCAAACAGATTTTACTAACATAATCCTGGGAATCCAGTTCTGTCCTTTTAATGGCCTCCAAGACAATAGTTGACATGAAAATTAGCCCTTAAAGAGTTTGATACTCCTGCACTATATATTCAATAAAACCCCTCTACATCACATGAAATATCCTTACTTGTCCAACATTTCGCTATTAGCACTGCCCTTGCTGGTACCCGTGCTGGCAGAGAGAGTGGGATCCATGGCAATGTCATGAGCTGAGTTGCCTTTGGTGGTGAAGTTTTTAGTTGCTGCTAGGACCTCCTCCTCCTCCTCTTCTGCTTCATCGCCAAAGGAGAGCAGCTTGAAATTCCTAAAGGGAGTATGAAAACACGTTCCATGACATATTTGTCTTTAAGTTAATAAGGAAATAGATTACACAAACCATAATTTACAACCTAGAATATCTGAACCCTTTAAATTCCATGAGGAAAAAAATTATACGATACATTAATACTTTCAACTGTCAGAATACTCACTTTGTTCCCTTTTTCTTTTTCTTTCTCTCTTCTTTAGGTATTTCATTGTCTATTGCTAAACGTGGTAAAATATCTGGGAATGGATTGTTCAGCACTTCAGTTTTGATGACCTTGTGTGGATACTCTGTCTGTCCAAGAATCAAGCTAATTAACTCATCAAGATAACAGCATATCCCAATAAAGAAAATTATTTTGAGAAATGTACAACTAAAATAAGTGATTAAAATATACCCTCTTGCATTTCTCAGATATGAAACATAACTTCCTTCCACTTACTTTTCCAATGATTCCCTCCTCAAATCTCGGCAAGTTGTAAAGGGTGTTCCCTGTCACCTTGCCAAAGATTGTGTGTTTGTTCTGCAGTTCTGGACACTGGCCCAGAGTAAAGAAGAACTGTGAGCCGTTATCATGAGGGCCAGCATTAGCCATGGCCACAAGGCCACGGCGGACAAAACGAAGTCGAGAGTGGAATTCATCCTTTAGGGGTAAAGTATGTGGAAAGTGAGTCAATATATGTCAATTAATGAACAATTCATTAACATATAAAAGTAAACAAAATATGTGATATTTCAATGTATGTTTTAATGGGTATGAGAAAAAGTATTAGTTAATCAATAGATGATTGAAGAAAATCATTACTAAGATAGATTACTGAAAGTCAGTCAAAGGAGTAAAAATATTCAAGAATTAAGAACTAGATAAATAAAACACAGAGCTAAAATAATGTAATAGCTAAACAATATATCCAACAATTATATCATTCACATAAATATTACATTGATAACAAATAAACTAAATATGTAGAATGGTAGGAAACTTCCAAAATAAACAACATATTAAGCCTGTTAGCTCTTCTATTAAATTCACAATAAAAGAGCTGTTGCCTAGTTATTACAAGGTAATAAATCTTTCCATATCCC